GCAGTGTGCCCCTTGGGAGACCGCTGGTGGGGCGGCTGCGAGGAGTTGGTTCTGTCACCGGGCCAAGGTTCTTGCCACACAGCAGAAGGTCTTCGAGCAGTGGCTGCAACCCATATGGAGCTGGATCAACATCACTCGGGCCTTGCAGCAGGCCATGGAAGATGGGGAAGTCCCGAATTGGTCACCGCGGTCGTGGAAGTGTTACGACGAGGCCAACTTGAAGAGCGACCTGGGCCTCTTGGGCCGCATGGCATCTTGCCCTTTCAGGATTCTCACGACCTCCAGCTTCGAAGGCAAGCCCTCCTACATGGACAGGGGCACAGGTGCAGCAACCAACCTGGGCATGTGGAGGCCCAAGAGAGGGAGCGAGGGCCTCTACTATCTCGGTGACTATTGCCAGCAGAGCCATGCCGGGGACATGCACCTGACGGCCATGCTCTTGCAACACATGCCGGGACACGAGGATTCCTTGAAAGCCCCGGTCGCCATGACCTTCAACTGGAATGACAGACACACCCGTGGTGACCATGATGGCGGCTTGTTCACGCCGGGTTGCGCAGAGGGCTACCGCCCGGTGGGGAGCGTCGGTGAGCAGGATCTGCCTGATAGTCGGGCAGGGCCTGACAACCCTCCACCACCCAGCCGATTCAATGGCCTGGTTTGTGTGAAGGCCGAATACACGGAATCAAGGCTACCGTAAGAATCTCCTTTGATAAGCGACTATAGCTGACTATACAGTATGTCTAGGAGTCCATGCCGCTCCACCATCCAAGGAAGAGGTGCATCTCACCAAGGCCGACTGGATGTGGACGGACCATAACAGTGGTGGGCATTATGATGGTGCCGTCTTTGTAGGCCCTGTCTACATGACGGCAAGTGGTGTCTTGGTCTACGGCCCTTGCCACGCTGCCCGGGGCCACCCATTTCATTACACGGTGTATCGTCTCAACGAGTCCCTAGTTAGGTGGTGCACGGGCATGCCGGCAGCGTGAGCGTGAGCAAACTCTAAGCCCATGAACTCGCATTGCAAGCACAAGCCTGAGAGGTTCAGGGCTTAAATTGACGACGTCCGCAACATGCTGCCGTTTTCAG